AGATAATTTTAATTAAATATTTATAAACTCGGTAATTAGCCGAAATACAGATTTTTAGTTATTCATGTTAAAAGAAGAAGGCGCTAGAGTTCCCGAAGGTCCGTCTGCAATCAGAATTAATATGAACGTTTTAAAAATTATTTTATACCGAAATAAATAAATATACAGGCTAATAAGCCTGTAGCTATAAGCGATAGTTGCTAATTAAGTTTGTAAAGATTGTACCAGCTGTGCAGGGTAAAGAGCAGGTTATCTCAAACGCCCTGCCACAACCTAATTAAAAGAGACTCAAATGTCATTACCGCTGAGAAGTACTTTTTGCCATTTAAGTTAGCATGTCAGAGCAACCGGATTGTCCATTGCGTTCCACCTTGAATTTTTTTTACAGTCGTTTATTAGGATTGCCCTACTTTTAAATTGAGCGCTTTTAAATGTATTATTATTAAACTACCGATATCGATATATTATTAGTAATTTAATATTAAAACTTGACAGAGTGACGTAAACTAATTCGCTCATAGTATTATAACAAAGTATTATGCATTCAAATTCTCGAAAGCTAATAGCTTCTTTACTATGCTCTCTCTTTATGTTGATCGATTCAGATAAAAATCTCCGAAGTCTTTCTTTCTCTCGCGATATTCCTAGAGTAAAACTGTACAAAAGCTCTACGAAATTGGCGATATTTTTCACGGCTCTGGTTTGAGTCTCGGCTCTTGAGGAAGGTGCGCATGTAGAAAGAGTACGCCAACACAGTTTATCCTGCTAAATGGTTATCAATTCTCTATAAGTTCTGTATTGTACATAAATTATAGAATATCTAAACGTTTCTTTTTTTTTCGATGTCCTGTGACATATTGTACAATAGAGTTACAAATAAAGATAAAGCCACACTTTACGTATAATCTAATTCAGTCTTTGCTAATGTTACATAATAACGTGCGAAAGAACTAACAGTTAGACTATTTAAGAGGTTATTTAAAAATTTTAATTGATACTGGAAGCATAAAACTGTTCAGCTAGCTTTACACAAGATATTGGTCTTCTTCTTTATGAAATCGTCAAATTATGATTATGATACATTTCTACATTATCACCAGCATCGAATCTAATCTTATTTATCGTGATACTCTTGAGAAACTGTTAATCCATTGTCTTAACTCGATCGCGGCGCAGAACTGCGTCCACCAATATTGTTCTTCTCTCTCCAATCGATTCCCGTAAAAGCTGTCTACATATTGAACAGTCGATACAACGACGGCGAATTAGTCTGAAATTAAGCACACGTTAACAATCACTCTTCTTGCTAAAATCACAATTCTCTTTTCAATCGCATACCTTGATTATGACATACCTGTAGACACGGGAGTCAGATCGTCGGCAGCAGGTATGCCTCTTTCCGACGCCATGGAAAAGAGATTCATGATGGTAGTCGCGCAACAAAATACACACTGCAACTTATCCCTAGGAGTCTTATACACCGATATCACAGCCAATTCAGCCTGCGCCCATGACTAGGGGCATTCGTAATGATAAACTTTTGAAATGCGTAGGTCCCTGTGATTTGAAGTTACGACCTTTGCCAACTTATTGATATGACCGTGAAAAAGCTGGTCCCTATATACATCTCCATCTTCATTTAGATAGAGCGTATTGTGGTATACCCGTGCCATGACGGTTCTTTCCACTACGACTCTCGCCAAATCTAACTGGTTGGCGCTTGCCGCTGAAAGTAAGAAGTAAGTTCAGACGTCTCTGAGCACTCCGCTAAGATCAATTGCGAGATAAATAATTATATTCATGTACATTGCCAAATCGGATCGTTGTCCATTTCTACGTGGACCTTCTCTATAAAATTATCCACGAGAACCTGTTTCTCGTCAGCTAGCGTAAGCTTTTTAAACTCTTCGCAGGAGGAAAGCTTTCTTTTTTTTCCAAAAATACCCTCACACAAACGGATACAAGATGATTATTGATAGCATCCCGATCGCACTTAACTCGCACGCATAATCTGAAAAATATTATTATTAAACGGTTAACATCTTACATTTAAACATCTTACATTTACTTATACATTACATACAAAAATGATATTTATATATAAACAGTACCTATCTAAGTGAGCTAATGTCAACAGCAATCCCTGACGACATCTGATTAAATATGCGATATATGGAGATCGCTTTTGATAATCCTCTCGAAGTGATTTGAAGAGCTTTCTACATCCATCGTCATTAAATAGACGCACGCAACGTAAAGTTTCATGAAGATGAGCTAGTTAGACTTAGCTAACTAAGAGCCTCCGCACAAGACTCTCGTATATAGCGTAGCGTAACTTAACGTGGATCAACGCACAAGAAACGTATCGGTTAGAGCCTCCGCACAAAACTTTCGTATAGTAACGTAACGTAGATCAATGCACAAGAAACGTATTGACGTATAACGCCGTAACCGATACGTTTCTTGTGCGTTGACCCACGTTTCGTTACACTACGTTACCATACGAAAGTCTTATGCGGAGGCTCTAAGACTTAGCTCAGCTTCAGTTTTGCCGTTTGCTATGACAGAACCCTCCTGCTGATGTTCCCTATCAAGCCTCACGTTATCTTCCTCCGCCTGAGTCTCCATTCGCGCGAAGATCACGTTGATCATCTGCGTGAGAGTCGCACAGGCTGTTGCTTGATTCACCAGGTTGCGCGACGACAAGTAAACGTTGTAAACAGTACGAATTGTTAACAGTACCGTATCCTCGTATACCTCCACATGCTGGCTTGTCATTACAGTCAGCAGAGCTTTAATAATCTGCAGCTGCACACTCTCATCGGTCGGTGGACCGGTGAAGCAACCGCAAATTGTCTCGACAATGCGCACAATCAGCAGCTTGTTAGGCTCCGTTGAATCAGGCACATTGCCAGTGAGATGGCTATATGCGATTAACTTCTGCAGGCAGTCCAGTGCTGTGTCACCACAATCCGTAGTGACTAGCTCTGACATGCTGACTCAAATGGCAAGAAGTACTTCTCAGCGGTAATGACATTTGAGTCGCTCGTAATTGGACTGTGGCCCAATTAAGGGCGTTTGAGATAACCTCTTCACCCTGCACAGCTGGTGTACATCTTTGATCTCGTTACGGAGGTCCTCTGCAAGATGAAAATATGAGTGACAAACTTAATTAGCAACTATCGCTTATAGCTACAGACTTATTAGCCTGTATATTTATTTATTTCAGTATAAAATAATTTTTAAAACGTTCATATTAATTCTGATTGCAGACGGTCCTTCGGGAACACTAGCGCCTTCTTCTTTTAACATAAATAACTAAAAATCTATATTTCGGCTAATTACCGAGTTTATAAATATTTAATTAAAATTATCT